CTATTCTAAGAATGACATATGAGATACTACAGCTAACACGTATTCAACTTGGAATTGAAATACGATGCAGTTAGTATGATGCGCCGAGCCCGGTGCATGCAAGACAGATGAATGGATGCAAACATGAGAGCATAAGTATGCTAATTGAAACATGCCCTAATCTAACCATCATAAGCTGATAAATAAAGGGAGAAAGACGTGGGGTTGGAAGACATACATCACACACAAGCACAGTTATTACAATTGTGCCCTCGCTCGGAGGGTCCGAATAAATAATATAGTCCGAATAAATAATTACAGCCCGAATAAACAATTAAATATTACAAAACCCTAATTAATTAACAAATTAACTAGGAAAGAAAATAAATTAGCATGCAAGTCTATGGACCGCCCCATCTCTGCTCCGAATGATGAAAGATACATGCATGCTCGAGTCGCCTCGTTGGAAAATTCCTCGCGATGCCCGATTTGCCTCTATTTGCAATTCATCCCGGGATGCTGTGCAAAGCTCTAGAAGGTTGCTGATTTCTGATTTGCTGCAACAGAGAGCAAGAAAGGGGCATGGCAAAGTATTTTCACATATGTATGCACACCTCGATCCTCGTGCCACCAATCACGCATCTCGATACATGATGGCCGAGGAGTCGAATTGCACGACTCGATGTGAAATCAATGCACATGACAACACAACAAGGCCTAGACTCCATCATGGGTAATCCGGAGTGTCGGCGACCGGGAATTGAGACACGTTCCGTCACTTTGGGTACGAAACGTCCCTCGTTTCCCGTGTTTGGGCTAACTCCTATCCCAAACACAATGCAATGAGATGGCATACACAATGCGGCTAACATGCAACTTAGCATACGCAATGCTATGGGCTAAAATGGCATACACAATGCACGTGACACAACATGGCATGCACAATGCACTAACATGCAACCTCGCATACGCAATGCTATGGACTAAAATGGCATACACAATGCATGATGAACTTACACCAATATGAGTGGACCTCAGCCACACTCACACCAGTGGCCATATGATGAAAATGAGACAACCGAAATACATGCAAACATGAACGAATGTAATGGACCGGTCCTAAGGCATCAAATGCCACTCTACCAAAGCATGGCAAGGGATGAAAGATGGCCTACAAACATGAAATTTCCAGCTCTGAAACATGATGCACAATGGTCCCGAATCATGAAAATATGTCACGCAATGCAAGCTAGATGGCCCGGGTACCGAAACTAGTGAAGTGCGTTACACTAGAGGTACACAAAGCAATGTACAAATGGAAAAACCAACCCCAAACAGACCCTAGGCAGGTTTGAAACAGTGGGGAAATGGCCTAAAATGATGGTTCAGAATGCAAAGAAATGGAGCTCATTCAATGGTCGGTAAATGAGGCATACAAGCCCGACTCTCAAACGCATTTAAAGAGTATAAAACATGGGAATATGGCATTCACATAAGCTCTGAAATATAATGTATAATGGCCCCAAAGCATGAAAACACCTCAGTAGATGCATGCAATGGACCTCAAATCTCAAAGCTAGGCAAGTGTATTGAACTATAAGCATGCAAAACAAACATCATTCAACCATGAGAACCAAAAATAGAGCTAGGGCAGTCCAAAATATACACAAAATCAGTTTAAGGCAAGGCCAAAAAGTGCTAAAATCAAGGTTAACAAAGCATGCAAAGTAAGCTAGTGAACCATGATTTGCACTACAACTATATGAAGCACATGAGGGGTCACCAAACCAGCCAAAAACAGAAGTATGTCATGCTAAAATATGCCCAAAAACCCATGGAAAATCAGTCAACACATGTTAGAATGAGGTGCTCCTTTGAGAGGCCAATAAGAGGGTTGCTCAACACATGCAAGATAGACATGCAAAATGGAAAAACCACCTCTGGACAGAGGTTATAAGGGCCCTAAAACTCATCAAAAATGGCCTGAAATGAAGCTAGGAAGCATGCAAGTAAAAACCCCTGTGAAAGGCCTTGAATAGGATTGCTTTACACATGCATAATAGACATTCAAAATGGCCAAAAGGGCTCTGGAAAGAGCTTATGCAGACCTTAAAACTCACCAAATAGGGCCTGAAACATGGCTTCAAAACATGCAAAATAGAGCTCCTTTGTAAGGCCAAAAGGGCCAACAAACAGTGCAAGGAGAGAGGGGGTCACCCCCCTCTGATTTTGGCTCTTAAAATAGTATGCTAGCCACTGAAAATCCACTGGATTTCAGTGGCTATAAGGCCAAACAAAGCACAAAACCGAGGCCTAGAGGCAAGGCTCAAAACAAGATGCAAACAAGCATGCAACGGGGTAGATGACCTCCAACAGAAAAATGACCTTAAACAATCTTCAAGAGGAGCTCAAAATAAGACTTTTTTCAGTTTATGTCAAGGCTCAAAAATGCTTGCAAGTAAGGCTAAGATATGAAGTAAAATAAGCCTTAAAAGAGAGATGGAGCATACAAGGGGGTAGATGACCTCTAATAGAAAAATGTCCTTAAAAAAACCTCAAGAGGGACTCAAAATAAGACTCATTTCAGTTTGTTCCAAAGCTCAAAAATGCTTGCAAATGGAGCTAAGATACGAAGCAAAATAATGCTATAAAGACGGAAATAGAGAGTTACCCTTGTAGAGAAGAGAACCAGCAGCTTCTGGACCAATGTAGCAAGCCTTCAACCTCTGAAAATTAGCTCCAAGTTGCTTAGAGTGGTAGTGGAGGTGTTGTGCCTGGAGGTGTAGTTCAAATGGCCAAGAACTATGGAGTTTTGAAGCTTGGATGTAGAGAGATAGAGAGAGGTGTATGCAATGCCTTAGCCAAATTTTCCAATCCTTGCAAATGAAGAGGAGGGCCTCTCTTATAGGAGAAGAGGTCCAAGGCTTCTTGGAGAAGCCTCAAGCAAAGGGACCAAGCTTCTAAAAGAAGCTAAACCAAAGGGGTCAAGCTTCTCTTAAAAGCTAAGCAAAAGGGACCAAATCTTCCTTAAGAAGGCAAAACAAAAGGGTTAAATCTCGGAGGATGGGGCAAATGCCTCCCAGCTGGCATAGCTGTATTGCACTTAGGGAGACAAAAAAAGAGATGGCTGGCTGACCAGTTCAAGTGGTCGGCCGACCAGGGGTCAAAAGGGTCAGGTTAAAAAGGTGGTTGGCCATACCAGATTGGTGGCCTCCCAGGTGAATGCAACACAATGGTGGTATGGGAGACCAGAAATTGTGGCTCAAAAGTGAGGGAGACCAAGGGGTCAAAAGGGGTCAAGCACCAAAGGTGGTCGGCCATACCAAATAGGTGGCCTCCCAGATGAATGCAACACAGTGGTGGCATGGGAGACCATAAATTATGGACCAAAAGTGAGGGAGACCACTTACCTGCCAAGAAAAACCGGCCGACCGGGGAAAGGTGGTCTCCAAGAAGAAAAGGTGGTCTCCCACCATACTACCACCTTCCTAACAATGAAAATAGGGTCCATGCCAAAAATGAACCCACACCGATGCAAAACGAGGGTTCAGGGGCCAAAAAGCGCAGCCGGGTGCCCCGAAAACTGATTATTAGGCACCGGAAGTGGTGTGCCACAACGAAGGTGGTCTCTCGGGCCACAGTGTCCCTCAAGAGAGAGGAAACAAAGTGTGTGCCAAAAATCGGAGCAAACGGAGAAGGTTAAGCGGTCCCGAACCGAGGTGCACGGCCGACGGCTCTAAAAATCGAAAACTGGTCTCAAAACGAGAATAGTGGCCTACGACCACGAAACGTAGCCTACGGCCACTGAGAGATGATCTTCAGGACCTCTCCCTCCCTTCGGGAAGAGAAAACAGAGAAAACAGGACCTGGTTCGTAAACCGACGCAAAGCACAAAAGAGTCTTGAAGTCTAGAGGCAAGGCTCTCAGCCGAGACTCCGAATCCTCAGAACGAGCACAACACGCGTCATCATCGAGTGCTCAATCGGTGACGTCTGAGTCTTAAGGTCGGTCAAAAATGGGGTGTCTACAGTGTGACTTATAGGATTCTTTGCGTATAACTGGATTGTTGCTCATATGTTTAGGTTCAAGAAAGCGATTATAAGTCTTAGTTTGGTTTTGAATTTAAATTTGTAGTTGCGTGGTTGCTTGGATTTTTTGCACGTTCTCCATGTGATGGTTCTTTCTGGATGCATTGCAGGCGGAAATGGGTTGGTGGAGAGGTTGCACAAGCTCTAGCATATGATGTTCCTATTCCAGGATACAAAACCAAGAACACTATTAATCTTCATCTGTGGGAAGCCAAAGCTGGTGCTGAAGACTTCAACATCTTTCAATTTAATGATGGACAGTATGAATCGGCTGCACAACTCCATTTTAGAGCTCAGCAGGTTGGTTTTTCCCTTACTATATAAAGGAGAGCGAGCCTCCCTTTTTGGCCAAAGAACACAATTCATGACATACTACAATGGTCCCTTACATTCTTGTTGTCCAAAATGTCATTCACTCCTTTCAAAACTTCTGCTATCTTTCTACTCTAGGGCTGTGAATAATTGTCCAGGGAAACTTTGGTTTTGGTCTTCGTTCTGAGCTGTAATTGTGAAATACAAAATCATTGAAGGAAAAAGCAATGTGTCCTGAATTAAAACTGCTACGTTTTTCTTTCTCATAATAAATTCTCAGACTAAATGTAACTGTAACTGTTGGAAAGTTGCTTCTGTTCTCATCTGTGTTTCAATTGTTTTTGCGTGGTATAGTGATCTGGAAATGTGCCTTTGCAAATTTGTGTTGTTCTTTATCCTGGGGATGCCACAAAAAATGGAAAGCTTTTGCGATTGAAGCAACAATTTTTCCTGTGCAGTGCATCACTTCAGGTTGGCTGCCTTTTCAATTCTGTATTTGTTTAGGTCCCCCATCCTTCTTTAGTACTAAGTTCGTCATTCCTTTTGCTTATTTAATTTTGTTGATATCAATCTCAGCTGCTACTTTTCCATGTTGTTTTCTAATCATGGGATCAATCTCACGACATGATTGTTAGATTTAAGGAGAGAAAAGATGGAAAGAGCTCGTGGCAGTGGTCTGAATTTCCCAATAAGGTTGCGGTACAGCTGAATGATACGCATCCTACTCTTGCAATTCCAGAGCTAATGCGATTACTAATGGATGATGATGGACTTGGATGGGATGAAGCTTGGGATGTGACAACAAGGTGCAGTTATCGTTTTCTCTTAATTGTTTTGCTTCATTTACTCTTTCTCAGCACCTATTTTTTCTGTTGCCACTTTTAATGTGTTCATAGTCCAAAATTATGATTGGTGCTAATGAATAACAAAAAGGGAAATTTTAAACCAGGACAATTGCTTATACAAATCATACTGTCCTTCCTGAGGCACTGGAGAAATGTTCGCAAGCTGTTATGTGGAAACTTCTTCCTCACCATATGGAAATCATTGAAGAAATCGACAAGAGGGTTTGTCCATCCTGTCTTATTTTCTCTCTTTATTATGTGTATATTGTTTTACAATTTTTGAAAAAAGAAGATGAAATTCTTGCAGTTTATAGCAATGATACGTTCAACAAAACCAGAACTTGAAAGTAAGCTTTCCAGCATGCGCATTATGGATAACAATCCCCAAAAACCAGTTGTGCGGATGGCAAATTTATGCGTGGTGTCTTCACATGCGGTATGAGCTCCCTTCTTTGTGGATCAACAAACAGATTATGTTGTGTACAACCATAATCTAAAACTCTTATGAGAATTACCGAGTGATAGTTGTTGAAAAGCTAAAAGCAGAAAATTGTATTAAACCATTAATAAGTTTTCTTGAGAACATCTCCGTATTGAATATTGATTTTTTTTTCTTTTCTTATTGTTAAACAACAATTTTTATGTTGATTTGGGAGCTACAGTAATTTTAATTTCCAACTAGATATAGATCATACTATCAAAAGCTGAAAAATCCTGCTGATTGAATCATGTTGTCCCCTTGACCTACTATTATTGTTATATTGCTTCCTTGCCTTTATTTAGTCATATGCCCGTAGTCATGCTCATTTGTTAAGCCCTTGATCCACTAATCCTTTACTACCTCTTATAATTTGTTGATCAATTTCATTTGGAAATGAAAAAGTGACTTCTCTCGTTGGCCATCTACCTGCAGGTGAATGGTGTTGCCCAGTTGCATAGTGACATTTTAAAGTCTGAGTTATTTGCAGACTATGTCTCTATATGGCCTAAGAAGTTCTAGAATAAAACCAATGGTATAACTCCTCGCAGATGGCTTTGATTTTGTAGCCCTGAACTCAGACACATCATCACCAAATGGTTAAAAAATGATCAATGGGTGACCAACCTTGACCTACTTGTAGATCTTCAGAAAGTATGTACTAGAGATGATTTTTAGATCATATTAAAAATCATCTGTCAGTGAATTTTTCTGTATGGTTATAAATGTCACTACTAAGCCTTCTTCTCCAATTGATTGCTGACGATGCAGACTTCTAAGCTGAGTGGGAATCAGCCAAGATGGCTGACAAGCAGCGATTAGCTCAGTTCATATTTCAAGTGACAGGTGTAAGCATTGACCTTTGACTTACAGTTCAAGCGGATCCATGAATATAAAAGACAGCTGCTAAATATTCTGGGTGTGGTCTATAGGTACAAGAAGTTAAAGGTATCACAAACTTCTCTGTGTTCAAACTATTAATCATGTAATTTTTTTGCTTAAATAACTTTACCTTGCTAACAAAATTTCATTACACCTACTGCCTACATACACTAAGTTTGTTGTGTCAATATATTCTCCACACACATATATCTGGGTATGTTAACAGAGTTCATAATTCATAAATGTCAATGCACCTGACAGTCATATAATAGATAATTTGGTCTGGTCTTCCTTTTTTTTATTATGGTAAAATCCTGAAATGATTATAATCTTTTACAAGCAATTAGTTCAATGAAGTTAAGCTCCAGTCTTCAAAGTATATCTTTCAATTTAGCAAAAATTTAAGAGTGATTCGAGTAGTTTTGTAAATTGGGTACTGGGCTATGCATTGATTGAACAAGCTCAACAGAAAATGTTGGATTCCTTTCTATTTTCTTCCACAAGAATGCATTTATGCATATATTTATTTATCTATCCGTTAATGCATATGTTCACTTCAGTGCTTTTGATTCACATTATGCTAAATTGATGATGCATGCAATAACAGGTAACAGTTTTCACTTCTAATATTTGGAAAAGCTGTTTTAGAAGTTGTATAGAAAACCGAAGAATACTTTGTTGTTGGATAAGGTTCTGAAATGGCCCTACATGTTTCTTCCTCAAATGAAGCTTGCTACATAGGTGAAAATATGGCTTAATAAGTGTGGATTGAGAGGGAGAGTTGATCAATCATCCCTAGAAACTTAGAAACTTAGAATTTGAGGTGTTAACTCCCAAAAATCACCAAACGGAGTCGGAGTTGCACAAAACTTGGCACACACGACCGTCTAGGCAAGAGAGACTTGTGGGAGAAAATAGGACTCGAATCGGGTTCCCGGTTTAGGAGTTAGAGCCGAATTTCACGCTAGGCAAACTAGTTCCTTAAAAAACTTAGAATTCGAAGTGTTGACGCCCCAAAATCACCAAACGACGTCGGAGTAGCACGAAACTTGGCATACGACCACCTAAGCACGAGAGACTTGTGGGAGAAGTCGGGACTCGAATCGGGTTCCTGGTTTGGGAGTTAGAGCCGGATTTCATGCGAGGCAAACTAGTTCCTTAAGAAACTTAAAATTTGAGGTGTTGACGTCCCAAAATCACCAAATGGCGTCAGATTAGCACGAAACCTGGCACACACGACCTCTAAGGTACGAGAGACTTGTGAGAGAAGATGGGACTCGAATCGGGTTCCCGGTTTGGGAGTTGAGCCGGATTTCACTCTAGGCGAATTAATTCTTTAAGAAACTTAGAATTCGAGGTGTTGATGCCCCAAAATCACCAAACGGTGTCGGATTAGAACGAAACTTGGCACACACGACCGCCTAGGCACGAGAGACTTGTGGGAGAAGTCGGGACTCGAATCGGGTTCCCGATTTGGGAGTTAGAGCCGGATTTCATTCTAGACAAACTAGTTTTGAGTACCAAAGTGTATGAAGAAGCAAGGGGAGACAATGGCTGATGTTGTCAACTTTTTGAGGACCAAAGGCTTCATTGGACACTTTGGAAGGGGAGGGGACTCATCCACAAGTGGACATTCTTCTTGGTAAAGTATGTTAACTTTAATATAACAAATTTTATAAAAGAATATATATTTGAAGAATTAGAAAGTAATGGAAACATGCATAGGACATCCAATTTGTACAGGTGCATGAGATGTATAAATTGTGAATTAGTCTAAAAAATATTTCTTTTTCTCTATATTTAAAGCTTCAAAAAAGGTCATTGAAAGGCTAAATTATTTGTACAGGAACCAACAGAAACACCTTAGGAGGGACCGATATAAGTTGCATGAACTTACGGCACATTAATGGGATGCACCATTTGTGAATTAGCCTTAAAATTAATTTTTTGTCCTCATAATCTCGAAAAAAAGTATGTTAGAGGGATAGATTATATAATTGATCTAATTGTAAATTGATGAGTTACTAATGTTTTTAATCTTTTGTGTAATTAATTAATTACTAAAGCTTTTAATTTATTTTTTTGCAGATTGGATTGGGGTGGCATTTTTGACGTGCAACAATGATGTAATTTGCTTGAATGTTCATTTTGTTTGATAAGGATACACATACTTTGTGGATTTGCACTAGTTATTGTTGGATGTTTGGTAGAATTGTATAAGTTATAATTTTTGGATATTTTGTGGATATTGCACTATTTTATTGTATTAGGATGAAATTATTTGTAATGATGAATGGATATTTTCATTTTATTAATTCGTAAATGTGTTGATGGTAGGTTAGGTTAAGCTGTGAATGGAATTGTTATATTCAACAGGTTTCAACATGAACAGGGTTATATTTGTTGAACTAAAATTCAGATTTTGATAACATAGGTATATAATGTGAAAAAAAATATTATGGAATTAGTGACAAAATTTTCCATCCCCAAAGAAGGTTTTTTCGTCTCTTATTTGACTTAGGTGGAAGATTAATTTTGTCATGAATTCTTTATTTCGTCGCTAAATGAATTTCTCATGACGAAAAATATTGTCATATTTTGTCACTATTACCCTCAATGTGTGATGATTTTTTTTTGACATTATTTCATCATTTTTGATGATGAATTTGTTTTTGTCTTTATTGGTAGCTTCTTTGACAAAAAAATTTCGTCTCCGTTTATATTAAACGTGAAAAAATTATTTCGCCTCTATTTCTTATATTTATGACAAAATACTTTCGTCTCTAATTTCATTCTTTAATGATAAAATATTTTGTCGCTAATTACTTACAAGTATGTTTCCAACATAGTGTATTGGAGACAAAAAAATTCATCACAAATTTATCATTTTTAATGATGAATTTGTTTTTGTTTCTATTGGTAGTTTCTTTTGACAAAAATTTTTCGCCCTCGTTTATATTAAACGTGACAAAATTATTTCATCTCTATTTCTTATATTTATGACAAAATATTTTTGTCTCTAATTTCTTTCTTTAATGACAAAATATTTTGTCGCTAATTACTTACAAGTATGTTCTCAACAGAGTGTATTGGAGACAAAAAAATTCGTGACAAATTTATCATTTTCAATGATGAATTTGTTTTTTCGTCTCTAAGACCCCTTAGCGATGACGCTTTGGCAACAAAACGAGTGACAAAAAATTTTCGTCGAAATTAGTTTGAGTGGCGAAATATATACATTTTGGGACAAATTTGTTTCATCTTTAAATCCCAAATTTGTTGCAGTGGATGGTGAGTTGGGGTGGTGAGTGGGGGTGAGGTTTGGTAGTGTTTGAGACAGAAGTGTATATCGTGTGTGTGTGTGTGTGTGAGAGAGAGAGATAAAACAGAGTGTAAATATATCAGGCGCCAAAAATAATTTGTTTCCCTCTAAAACAAAAATACAACCTTTAGCGACTGAATAAATTTTTGGTCACCAAATAACAATAAATACTGACCAAATATTTTGCAGCCAAAAATTGAGTAATACCGACCAATATATTTTTGGTCGCTGAAAGTATTTTATAAATCCCTCCAACATATTTGAAATATCTCCCTCCAAAAATTTTATTTTTTTGGCGACTAAAATTTTTTTGTTGCTGAAAAAACTTTTAAAAAAATAATTTTTTATTTTTCATTTGGCGACTAAACGGTTTAGTAGCCAAAAGTCAATATACAGCGACTAAAATTCTTTTTTGTCGCTAAAAATAAACTTTTGGCAATCAAAATTTTGGTCGCCAAAAGTAAAAAAATATTTTTTTGTTTTTCATTCGGCGACAAAATGATTTTAGTAGCCAAAACTCAGTATACGACGACTAAAAATTTTTTTTGTCGCCAATTCTAGCATTTTTAGCGACTAAAATTTTTTTTAGTCTCCAAAAACCAAAACACCCAGACTAAAAAAAATTAGTAGCTAAATATTTTACTTTTGCCGACTAAAAAAATTAGTTGGTCGCCAATTTCACAACTTTTGGCGACTAAATTTTTTTTAGTCGCCAATTTTGGTCGCCAAATGTGCATTTTGTTGTAGTGAAGGCCAACACTGGGATTTTTATTTTATTTTATTTTATTTTTCTTTAGTAAGCTTTTTTAATCCTAATAAGATGTAAGTAAAAGTTATATCAAACAGTCTGATATAAATTTTTAAATTAAAATCAGCTATGATAAGCTCATTTAAGCTGCAATAAATAGCCACATAGTAGCCCCTCACTCCAATTACATTAATTACATTGTATGTAGGAATTGAATCGTGCTAAAAAATAGCATATGCAATACTAGAGTGGATGTCTCAAAATATAATATTTTGACACCTATAGCGTGCTAAAATATGATATTAACACAATTAAAATAACAAGATTGGCTAAAATAATTTTAATTGTTAATTGAAGGAAAAAAAATACGATCCAGTGCATGTTTCTAAAAAGAAATTCAAATTATTGTAAACTTTATCAATTTTAGTAATTAAAATTATAATATTTTTCATAAATTTATAAATATTTTATGAAGACATCATTGATTTGTAATTTTTCCTTAATTAAAAATATATTGAGGTTGACAAAACTCTCTCTTATGTATATCTCTCTTTCTCCCATTGAAAGTTGCACTGTTGTTTCTGTTGTCCTTATCCTATATAGGAAGAGTTGGCCAAGAGCTTGTTTTTGGAAGAGGATTTCAACCCTTCTTAATTGTCAAGAATTTTCTAATCTAATATTTGGTGAACCAACTTATAACTAAGACCTACTAATCAAGACATTCCCCTTGCTTTTTAACATTCACTACAACGTATGAGAATTTTAGAAATCAAATATTTTGGTCTCTAAAAATGTAAATTTTGTTGCAAAAGATATTTGGGCAGCAATTTCTATCATCATGAGAATAGTCGCTAAAAGGTCGTCCCAAAAAGTCAAAAATAAGACTTTTAGTGACAATTTTAAAAATATCAGTAATAAATAGACTTTTAGAGACAAAATAATTTAGTCTCAAAATGATTTATTTTTTAAGAAAAAAAATTTGGTCCCAAAAGGATAATAATTCATTACTAATGTCTAATTTTCGTTGTTAAAAATATAATAACGACACTTTTCTCAATGAAAATATTTGGTCCCTAAAAAATAATTTTATCTTTAAATTTTGGTCTTTAAAACCTTAATTTTTTATAGTAATTTCAATCACACAACTTGCACCCCAATGATCAGGCTTCTTTTTTTTTCCATCACACGGTATACATCATAAAATTTTAAGGCTTCGTCTCAATTAATTTTTCTTAATTTTTAAGGGTTGACCAATATATATATATATATAAATTCGATACAAGTATAGACAACAATTTACAAGTTTGAGTTAAATTTAGACCTAACTTGAATAGATATACTGGGCAACTTGAATAACATGAATCCCAAATTACATATATAAATAAATATATAAATATATTAAATATATATATATATATATGTATATATAAAATATTAGTCATTGAATGAGGCTAAAATTATAGCAACTGTTAGAATAACTCAAGTATATAAATTATGAGGAATGCAGATTATTATGTTCCATACTACTTGTGATGTTGTCAAAATAGTGTTAGTAAGGTCCAACTCCAGAAATATAACTAGCCTAGCAATGAAAAAAGCAAAAACAAAAAAACGCTTAAGACTCAAATTTGTGGACATTTGGAGCAGTTTAATTTATTGAGTTTAGGTTGGTCTTGGGTAGACAAGCTCGGATGAAGAGTTGGACTTGAGTGGATTTCAGTAACTCTCAACACAATTTAAGTTAGGATTGGCAATCCCTTGACCAGCTTGAGTTGCACCACTATTTATGAATTCTTTTTTCTATTGATGATGTGGTTGTTGGTGTTGAATTTACTGATTTGCATTGTTTGGATTTTCTTAAATTATATATTTTTTTAATATAGGATGTGTTTAGGTTGGGAGATTGAGTGGAAGATCTTGCAACTAAGCAGTTTATGATAATGCAATGAAACAAACCAACTGCGTTGACATCTACATTAAGACCAAGAATACAAGCAAGCTCAAAATTTTGATCCTTGAATTTTTTAATTTTTATTTTTAAGCTAATTTATTTCTTAAAGTATCTAATTGTACCTAATTTGTCCCAATTATCAATGTCTGTCCAAATTTTGACAAAAAATTCCACATGGTGCGATGTCATATTTCAACCAACCCTAATCTAAGAGCAATATGTAATTAAAAATTTCTTTCCTACATTGGCCCCTTCATTATTTACCCCATGAGGGAAAATTTCCCACCAATTAGGTGGTTATCCAGTTGTACTCAAAATTTTCTCCAATTATAAGCAGATTTTCAATTTTATAATTTTTGTGCATATTTATGAGGGAGTGTCTATGTTTCACATACTAAAATATGGTTATTAAAAATTTAGTACCAAAAAAAAAAAAAAAAATTACTACAATTAGAAAGTGAAAATTTCAAGATGTCTTCATTAATTAATTCTATGTTGCCACAATAACAAAGAAGTTGAAGCCTTTTTTTCTCTTCTCCTTCACTTTTATTTTCGTCTTCCCTCTTCTCTCAATTAATTCCTTGCTAGGCATGTAGCCAAATCGATTCAAGCTAAGGATCAAATATTTCTTTTTTTTTTTTTTTTGCTGGTAAATAAAGAAAAATGGAATACTAACACATAAAAGTGGTTTTTATCATATTTTCTAAGGTTTTCCTTTGATTTGGGTGGGAAAAGATGCCACATGTCGCGGCATGACACCAACGTGACATTTTTCATTAAAATTTGGACGAACATTGGGAATAAGGACATACTAGGAATAATCATATACTGTAAGGACTAACTTGAGTAACAAAACAAATTAAGGCTAAAGTGTGAATTCACTAATACTTTAGAGAGAAAAATGTAATTAAAAAAAAACAATAGTTGCAATTAAAAAATTTCATTTTCATTTAAGCCTTGAAACAATATCTTTAGTTCAAATTTAATAAAGTTTTCTACTCAATTCTGTGGAAAGTTGGAGCAAATTATAGCTAGTATGCTCATGCATGTGCTGCAATAGTGTAAAAGAAGACCTATTCAAAGTCCTCTTGTTTAGGTGGGTATGCATCATAGTCAAATGTTAATACATGAAAGCAATATCTTCACAATGCAAGACATGGTTATGGTATGGATATGAAGGACAGTTGTAGTCGAAGCTCCTTAAGTGATGTAGATCAACAAACAATTTGACAGACTATGCCTTCAACTTTACTTAGAAGGGTCATATATTTTAGTGACGAGACTTGTTTAAAGTAATGTTTTGTAGTTTAGTCAGCAACTCAATCTTTCATTTCACATTATATCCTATATTCTTATTAGTTGTCATAACTAATCATTTCAATAACACCCACTCTCTCGGTTTTAAATGGAGCTAGATCCATATCATTATAAAGTTGTAATAGAGAATCTCTGTTATTATTACAATATAAAAGAGTTTTAGAGACCAAAAATATTTTGGTCTTTAAAAGTGAAAAATTTGTTGTAAAAGACATTTAAGAACCAATTTCTACCATCATGGCATTTAGGAATTAATTTCTACCATCATGAGAATAGTCGCTAAAAGGTCGTCCCGAAAAGTCAAAAATAAGGCTTTTAGTGACAAAATTTTAAAAATGTCACTAATAAATAGACTTTTAAGGACAAAATAATTTGATCTCAAAATGGTTAATTTTTTAAGACAAAAAATTTGGTTCCAAAAAGATAATAATTTATCACTAATGTCTAATTTTTGTTGCTAAAAATATATTAACGACAATTTTCGCAACAAAAACATTTGGTCCCTAAAAAATAATTTTGTCCTTAAATTTTGGTTTCTAAAATCTTAATTTTTTGTCTAATGATTATATAATAATTATGTAAATTTATCGTTATGTTGACAATTTCATAATCTTTTTGATGTTTACTTCATATTCTAGCAAGAGCTGGCCCTTGGAATTCCTATCCTCGTACTTTTTCGAATTATCATGAGCTGATTTTGAAAGATGATTTGAACCCATCATAGTTTTTATTTTATTTTATATTTTTTAACAAAACTACCTTTCAAAAATTTTCTAAACTGAAGGTTGGTCAACCACGTGCCATACAATACAACAAACACCAACTGTTTTACTGATCAATTATGACCTTCCACTTGCTTTGATATTTAATTCACGATACTTTGCTCCCTTATGATCATCATAGCCTTAACGCTTAATTTCCATGCATAAAAGGGTGGGAAAAAAAACTTCAAGAAGCCTTCTTTACTAATTTCTTTTGTTGATTCCTACAAATAGGTTTCGAAAGATTTCTACATTGAGCTTTGGGAACATAATATAGTTCCATTCACCATCTTGCTTTGCACTTCCATGAAGGTAAATGTTCCATCTTCAACCCTAAATCAACTAAATTTTGGTGAAGCTTTGATATATTTATTCAAGTTCCTTCAATTCATGTTCATCTTTTTTTCGCTTCCTAACAAGGGTATCTGAAATTTTGTCCCGACATGTTCATATTCATATACTTTTGTATAATACAATACTGAGTGATACTATACAAATAGAAAAAATATACAAAAAATTTATACATAATGATGTGACAGTGTTATGGGCTTATCATTTTAAAACAAAAAATCTATCAAGTTAGCTGTTAATTACATAAATGTCGCTGCCTTATCATTCTTGTAGCAGATTCTGTACCTATTTTCTGAAGATTATCTCTTCCCCTTGCAGAAAATAGAGTTGAAGGTTGGCATTTACTGCCATAAATGCAAAACAGAGGTGTTGAAGGCAGTTACAAAACTTACAGGCATGAGCTTCAACATATTCTAATTCTCACCCATTTTTTAAAACCCTTGAGAAATTTTCTTTTAGCCTATGTTTGGATTATGAATTTGAATGGATATTTACAAAAAGGAAGGAAAAATATGAGTGAAATATGAATGAAATATAATTACATTTCACATACGTTTTACATGCATTTTTCGTTTCTCTTTCCAAATCTCTATCAAAATCCATGATCCAAACACAGTTTTAAATTATGGACTAAGATATATAATTATACATGAGGTTATTTGGATTGAACAGGTATAGATCAAGTATCAGTGGATGCTGAAAAAGGGACACTAACTGTAATTGGAAATGTTGATCCAGTTTGTGTGACAACCCAAGTGAGAAGAAAGACTGGAAAAGTAGTAGAACTAATCAGTGTTGGTCCACCAAAGCCTCCTGACCCAAAACCTCAACCTTAGTTCAAATTTAATAAAGTTTTCTACTCAATTCTGTGGAAAGTTGGAGCAAATTATAGCTAGTATGCTCATGCATGTGCTGCAATAGTGTAAAAGAAGACCTATTCAAAGTCCTCTTGTTTAGGTGGGTATGCATCATAGTCAAATGTTAATACATGAAAGCAATATCTTCACAATGCAAGACATGGTTATGGTGTGGATATGAAGGACAGTTGTAGTCGAAGCTCCTTAAGTGATGTAGATCAACAAACAATTTGACAGACTATGCCTTCAACTTTACTTAGAAGGGTCATATATTTTAGTGACGAGACTTGTTTAAAGTAATGTTTTGTAGTTTAGTCAGCAACTCAATCTTTCATTTCACATTAAATCCTATATTCTTATTAGTTGTTATAACTAATCATTTCAATAACACCCACTCTCTCGGTTTTAAACGGAGCTAGATCCATATCATTATAAAGTTGTAATATATCTAATGATTATATAATAATTATGTAAATTTATCGTTATGTTGACAATTTCATAATCTTTTTGATGTTTACTTCATATTCTAGCCAGAGCTGGCCCTTGGAATTCCTATCCTCGTACTTTTTCGAAAGATGATTTGAAAGATGATTTGAACCAATCATAATTTTTATTTTATTTTATATTTTTTAACGAAACTACCTTTCAAAAATTTTCTAATCTAAAGGTTGGTCAACCACGTGCCATACAATACAACAAACACCAACTGTTTTGCTGATCAATCATGACCTTCCACTTGCTTTGATATTTAATTCACAATACTTTGCTCCCTTATGATCATCATAGCCTTAACGCTTAATTTCCATGCATAAAAGGGTGGGAAAAAAAACTTCAAGAAGCTTCTTTACTAATTTCTTTTGTTGATTCCTACAAATAGGTTTCGAAAGATTTCTACATTGAGCTTTGGGAAGATAATATAGTTCAATTCACCTTCTTGCTTTGCACTTCCATGAAGGTAAATGTTCCATCTTCAACCCTAAATCAACTAAATTTTGGTGAAGCTTCGATATATTTATTCAAGTTCCTTCAATTCATGTTCATCTTTTTTTTGTTTCCTAACAAGGGTATCTGAAATTTTGTCCCGACATAAGCTCAATCCCTGCCATAGTCAGCGAAGTGGCAATCTTGAAAGAATTAAACACCACAAACTTCTCTGCAAGGCACGATTTGAGTTGGATTCGCATCTAATAAATTCATAGACTCATTGAAATAAAAGTGCGAAAACAAGTATAACTGAAAGGAGTTTGTCAAACGGAATTGCCAAGATAAAACCTAACAAATGTAAACAAAACTAGGGTGATAATAGATTGGAAAAATCATAACCTTTGGAAGAGACAATGGGGTGAGTGAGAAAAAAATATTTTTGAAGGTAACAATAGAAGTAGGGTTTAGTGTTTTTTCATAATTGATGTGTATTGAGATTTTTTTTTATATTATTATTATTTCTTTTGGAGATGTATACTGAGAAAACATGAATTTCAAATGAAGTATGTACTCTAATATTCATATTTGTAATTTTGTTTAAGGTTAAAATTGTAATTAAATTTTCTTTCATTAAATATGTGCACATGGTGGAATAGAAGCTCCAGATAAAGTGCTATCCTGTCGTAATATAAGGATAAATGGATTTTGCCCTTTTCTTTTTTAATATTTACAAATACAATAATGAACTATGCTGCACACTATTGAAGGTATAATAATACATGATTTCTATCTCTAACAACTTAATTGCTCCCTCCGTCCCAAAATAATGATCTCTTTTTTTGAGAATTCAACTTTTTTGGTAGTACAATTATTGCATTGAAAAAAGTTGATTTATCAATATTATTTTTTGATAGTACATTTTTTAGGAATATCAATGTCATAATTGTACTTTTTATATTGTTTATTAATTTAAAAGAAGGGCAAAATAGAAAAATTTATATTATTTTTGTACTTGATTTTGAAGAGGGACTAATATTTTGGGACAATGAAAAATGGAATAAGAGACTTAATTTTAGGACGGAATGAGTACATTTTTTGAACTAGCGGTGATCAAACATATATTGGAGCAAACAATAAATCATGCTATAACTGAATGAAATTGTACAAAGAGTTTTTCCAAAACTTTGACACACATTAAGTTTTAAATAATAAAAAAAGGAACAAAGATAATAATCATAAACTAGTTGTAAATAATCTCACACTTGTCTACCAAACACGACATAACATATCCTATTAAACAAAACCAAAAAACAAAAAAAAAAAAAAAAAAAAAAGATGACTTTAATCTCTCAAAGATGGAGCAAGATGATCACCATAATAGGGAACAAAGGTGATGCCTACAAGCTCGCATTCCTTACAACAAGGAGGAGACATATAGGAGGTTTGCAAGGTTGAGGTTTTGGGTCAGGAGGCTTTGGTGGACCAACACTGATTAGTTCTACTACTTTTCCAGTCTTTCTTCTCACTTGGGTTGTCACACAAACTGGATCAACATTTCCAATTACAGTTAGTGTCTCCTTTTTCAGCATCCACTGATACTTGATCTATACCGTTCAATCCAAATAACCTCATGTATTAATTATATATCTTAGTCCATAATTAAAAACTGTGTTTGGATCATGGATTTTGATAGAGATTTGGAAAGAAAAACGAAAAAATGCATGTAAAACGTATGTGAAATGTAATTATATTTCATTCATATTTTCACTCATATTTTTCCTTCCTTTTTTGTAAATATCCATTCAAATTCATAATCCAAACATAGGCTAAAAGAAAATTTCTCAAGGGTTTTAAAAATGGGTGAGAATTAGAATATGTTGAAGCTCATGCCTGTAATTTTGAACTGCCTTCAACACCTCTGTTTTGCATTTATGGCAGTAAATGCCAACCTTCAACTCTATTTTCTGCAAGGGGAAGAGATAATCTTCAGAAAATAGGTACAGAATCTGCTACAAGAATGATAAGGCAGCGACATTTATGTAATTAACAGCTAACTTGATAGTTTTTTGTTTTAAAATGATAAGCCCATAACACTGTCACATCATTATGTGTATAATTTTTTGTATATTTTTTCTATTTGTATAGTATCACTCAGTATTGATTTATACAAAAGTATATGAATATGAAAATGTCGGGACAAAATTTCAGATACCCTTGTTAGGAAGCGAAAAAAAGATGAACATGAATTGAAGGAACTTGAATAAATATATCAAAGCTTCACCAAAATTTAGTTGATTTAGGGTTGAAGATGGAACATTACCTTCATGGAAGTGCAAAGCAAGATGGTGAATGGAACTATATTAGTTCCCAAAGTCAATGTAGAAATCTTTCGAAGCCTATTTGTAGGAAATCAAACAAAGAAATTAGTAAAGAAGGCTTCTTGAAGTTTTTTGTCCCACCCTTTTATGCATGGAAATTAAGCGTTAAGGCTATGATGATCATAAGGGAGCAAAGTATCGTGAATTAAATATCAAAGCAAGTGGAAGGTCATAATTGATCAGTAAAACAGTTGGTGTTTGTTGTATTGTATGGCACGTGGTTGACCAACCTTCAGTTAGAAAATTTTTGAAAGTAGTTTTGTTAAAAAATATAAAATAAAATAAAAACTATGATGGGTTCAAATCATCTTTCAAAATCAGCTCATGATAATTCGAAAAAGTACGAGGATAGGAATTCCAAGGGCCAGCTCTTGCTAGAATATGAAGTAAACATAAAAAAGATTATGAAATTGTCAACATAACGATAAATTTACATAATTATTATATAATCATTAGACAAAAAATTAAGATTTTAGAAACAAAATTTAAGGACAAAATTATTTTTTAGGGACCAATGTTTTTGTTGCGAAAATTGTCGTTAATATATTTTTAGCAAACAAAAATTAGACATTAGTGATGAATTATTATCTTTTTGGAACCAATTTTTTGTCTTAAAATAAACCATTTTGAGATCAAATTATTTTGTCCTTAAAAGTCTTTATTAGTGACATTTTTAAAATTTTGTCACTAAAAGCCTTATTTTTGACTTTTCGGGACGACCTTTTAGCGACTATTCTCATGATGGTAGAAATTAATTCCTAAATGCCATGATGGTAGAAATTGGTCCTTAAATGTCTTTTACAACAAATTTTTCACTTTTAAAGACCAAATATTTTGGTCTCTAAAACTTTTATATATTGTAATAATAACAGAGATTCTCTATTACAACTTTATAATGATATGGATCTAGCTCCATTTAAAACGAGAGAGTGGGTGTTATTGAAATGATTAGTTATGACAACTAATAAGAATATAGGATATATATGTGAAATGAAAGATTGAGTTGCTGACTAAACTACAAAACATTACTTTAAACAAGTCTCGTCACTAAAATATATGACCCTTCTAAGTAAAGTTGAAGGCATAGTCTGTCAAATTGTTTGTTGATCTACATCACTTAAGGAGCTTCGACTACAAGTTCCTTCATATACATACCATAACCATGTCTTGCATTGTGAAGATATTGCTTTCATGTATTAATAGCTGACTATGATGCATACCCACCTAAACAAGAGGACTTTGAATAGGTCTTCTTTTAGTCCCGCTTGTTTAGAGAGTTAGAGGGGGATTGAGATTGGTTGTGAGATGGGATTCACTAATATTGTGTTTGTTTTGAGAGATGGGGAGAGAATGATAATAAGCTCCGGATTAGGATAGGTCTCCCCAAGGGATTCGGATGGGCCTCCAGGACTTGGTATTAGAAAAATAGTTCGGCGGACTAAAATTTTTTATTTTTATTTATTTTTATTTTATTTTTACATGTCGGGCATTTTTTTACTATTAATATTTATTTTTTTTTTTTTTTGTAGCAAAAATCATTATTTTATTTGATTTATTTTTTTGGAAATTTTTTTATTTTTTTTTATTTTTTTAATTTTTTTTTATTATTTTATTTATTTTATATAAAATAATTTGACAATCCCTACACTAACAACTATCATCAAAACAAATACAATTTTACTTAATCCCCTCACTATTAATCCTCTCTATTCTATCTCTGAAAACAAACAGAGCCTTACACTATTGCATCTACATGCATGAGCCCACTAGCTATAATTTGCTCCAACTTTCCACAGAATTGAGTAGAAACTTTATAAATTTGAACTAAAGATATTGTTTCAAGGCTTAATGAAATGAAATTTTTTAATTGCAACTATTGTTTTTTTTTAATTACATTTTTTCTCTCTAAAGTATTAGTGAATTCACACTTAGCCTTAATTTGTTTTGTTACTCAAGTTAGTCCTTACAGTATATGATTATTCCTAGTATGTCCTTTATTCCAATGTTCGTCAAAATTTTAATGAAAAATGTCACGTTGGTGTCATGCCGGACATGTGGCATCTTTTCCCACCCAAATCAAAGGAAAACCTTAGAAAATATGATAAAAACCACTTTTATGTGTTAGTATTCCATTTTTTCTTAAATTTACCAGCACAAAAAAAAAAAAAAGAAATATTTGATCCTAGCTTGAATCGATTTGGCTACATGCCTAGCAAGGAATTAATGAGAGAAGAGGGAAGACGAAAATAAAAGTGAAGGAGAGAGAGAAAAAAAGGGTTCAACTTCTTTGTTATTGTGGCAACATAGAATTAATTAATGAAGACATCTTGAAATTTTCACTTTCTAATTGTAGTAATTTTTTTTTTTTTTTTGGTACTAAATTTTTAATAACCATATTTTAGTATGTGAAACATAGACACTCCCTCATAAATATGCACAAAAAATTATAAAATTGAAATCTGCTTATAATTGGAGAAATTTTTGAGTACAACTGGATAACCACCTAATTGGTGGGAAATTTTCCCTCATGGGGTAAATAATGAGGGGCCAATGTAGGAAAGAAAATTTTTAAATTACATATTGCTCTTAGATTAGGGTTGGTTGAAATATGACATCGCACCATGGTGGAATTTTTTGTCAAAATTTGGACAGACATTGATAATTGGGACAAATTAGGTACAATTAGATACTTTAAGAATAAATTAGCTTAAAAATAAAAATTAAAAAATTCAAGGATCAAAATTTTGAGCTTGCTTGTATTCTTGGTCTTAATGGTAGATGTCACGCAGTTGGTTGTTTCATTGCATTATCATAAACTATTAGTTGCAAGATGTTCCACTCAATCCCCCAACCTAAACACATCCTATATTAAAAAAATATATAATTTAAGAAATCCAAACAATGCAAATCAGTAAATTCAACACCAACAAACCACATCATCAATAGAAAAAAGAATTCATAAATAGTGGTGCAACTCAAAGCTGGTCAAGGGATTGCCAATCCTAACTTAAATGTGTTGAGAGTTACTTGAAAATCCACTCAAGTCCAACTCTTTATCCGAGCTTGTCTACCCAAGACCAACCTAAACTCAATAAATTAAACTGCTCCAAATGTCCACAAATTTGAGTCTTAAGCGTTTTTTTGTTTTTTGCTTTTTTCATTGCTAGGCTAGTTATATTTCTGGAGTTGGACCTTACTAACACTATTTTGACAACATCACAAGTAGTATGGAACATAATAATCTGCATTCCTCATAATTTATATACTTGAGTTATTCTAACAAGTTGCTATAATTTTTAGCCTCATTCAATGACTAATTTTATATATACATATATAATATATATATATTTAATATATTTATATATTTATTTATATATGTAATTTGGGATTCATGTTATTCAAGTTGCCCAGTATATCTATTCAAGTTAGGTTAAATTTAACTCAAACTTGTAAATTGTTGTCTATACTTGTATCGAATATATATATATATATATATATATATATTGGTCAACCCTTAAAAATTAAGAAAAATTAATTGAGACGAAGCCTTAAAATTTTATGATGTATACCGTGTGATGGAAAAAAAAAGAAGCCTGATCATTGGGGTGCAAGTTGTGTGATTGAAATTACTATAAAAAATTAAGGTTTTAAAGACCAAAATTTAAAGATAAAATTATTTTTAGGGACCAAATATTTTCATTGAGAAAAGTGTCGTTATTATATTTTTAACAACGAAAATTAGACATTAGTAATGAATTATTATCCTTTTGGGACCAAATTTTTTTTCTTAAAAAATAATCATTTTGAGACTAAATTATTTTTGTCTCTAAAAGTCTATTTATTACTGATATTTTTAAAATTGTCACTAAAAGTCTTATTTTTGACTTTTTGGGACGACCTTTTAGCGACTATTCTCATGATGATAGAAATTGTGCCCAAATATCTTTTGCAACAAAATTTTACATTTTTAGAGACCAAAATATTTGATTTCTAAAATTCTCATACGTTGTAGTGAATGTTAAAAAGCAAGGGGAATGTCTTGATTAGTAGGTCTTAGTTATAAGTTGGTTCACCAAATATTAGATTAGAAAATTCTTGACAATTAAGAAGGTTGAAATCCTCTTCCAAAAACAAGCTCTTGGCCAACTCTTCCGATATAGGATAAGGACAACAGAAACAACAGTGCAACTTTCAATGGGAGAAAGAGAGATATACATAAGAGAGAGTTTTGTCAACCTCAATATATTTTTAATTAAGGAAAAATTACAAATCAATGATGTCTTCATAAAATATTTATAAATTTATGAAAAATATTATAATTTTAATTACTAAAATTGATAAAGTTTACAATAATTTGAATTTCTTTTTAGAAACATGCACTGGATCGTATTTTTTTTCCTTCAATTAACAATTAAAATTATTTTAGCCAATCTTGTTATTTTAATTGTGTTAATATCATATTTTAGCACGCTATAGGTGTCAAAATATTATATTTTGAGACATCCACTCTAGTATTGCATATGCTATTTTTTAGCACGATTCAATTCCTACATACAATGTAATTAATGTAATTGGAGTGAGGGGCTACTATGTGGCTATTTATTGCAGCTTAAATGAGCTTATCATAGCTGATTTATTTAAAAATTATATCAGACTGTTTGATATAACTTTTACTTACATCTTATTAGGATAAAAAAGCTTACTAAAGAAAAATATAATAAAATAAATAAAAATCCAGTGTTGGCCTTCACTAACAAAAATGCACATTTGGCGACCAAAATTGGCACTAAAAAAAAAATTTAGTCGCCAAAAGTTGTGAAATTGGCGACCAACTAATTTTTTTAGTCGGCAAAAGTAAAAATTTAGCTACTAATTTTTTTAGTCTGGGTGTTTTTGGTTTTTGGAGACTAAAAAAAATTTTAGTCGCTAAAAATGCTAGAATTGGCGACAAAAAAAATTTTTAGTCGGTATACTGAGTTTTTGGCTACTAAAATCATTTTGTCGCCGAATGAAAAACAAAAAAATATTTTTTTACTTTTGGCGACCAAAATTTTGATTGCCAAAAGTTTATTTTTAGCGACAAAAAAGAATTTTAGTCGCTGTATATTGACTTTTGGCTACTAAACCGTTTAGTCGCCAAATGAAAATAAAAAATTATTTTTTAAAAGTTTTTTTCAGCACAAAAAAAATTTAGTCGCCAAAAAATAAAATTTGGAGGGAGATATTTCAAATATGTTGGAGGATTTATAAAATACTTTCAGCGACCAAAAATATATTGGTCGGTATTACTCAATTTTGGCTGCAAAATATTGGTCAGTATTTTTGTTATTTGGTGACAAAAATTTATTCAGATCGCTAAAGGTTGTATTTTGTTTAGAGGGAAACAAATTATTTTTGGCGCCTGATATATTACACTTCTGTTTTATCTCTCTCTCTCACACACACACACACACACGATATACATTCTGTCTCAAACACTTCCAAAACCTCACCCCCACTCACCACCCCAACTCACCATCCACTGCACACAAATTTGGGATTTAAAGATGAAACAAATTTGTCCCAAAATGTATATATTTCGCCACTCAAACTAATTACGACGAAAATTTTTGTCACTCGTTTTTGTTGCCAAAGCGTCATCGCTAAGGGGTCTTAGAAGACGAAAAAACAAATTCATCATTGAAATGATAAATTTGTCACGGAATTTTTTTGTCTCACATACACTCTGTTGAGAACATACTTGTAAGTAATTAGCGACAAATATTTTGTCATTAAAGAAAGAAATTAGAGACAAAATATTTTGTCATAAATATAAAGAATAGAGATGAAATAATTTTGTCACGTTTAATATAAACGAGGGCGAAAAATTTTTGTCAAAAGAAACTACCAATAGAAAACAAAACAAATTCATCATTAAAAATGATAAAATTGTGATGAATTTTTTTGTCTCCATTACACTATGTTGGAAACATACTTGTAAGTAATTAGCGACAAAATATTTTATCATTAAAGAGAAATTAGAGACGAAAGTATTTTGTCATAAATATAAGAAATAGAGGCGAAATATTTTTTTCACGTTTAATATAAACGAGACGAAATTTTTTTGTCAAAGAAGCTACCAATAAAGACAAAAACAAATTCATCATCAAAAAATGATGAAATAATGTCAAAAAAAATCATCACACATTGAGGG